TCTGTGGGGTCTACACCTCCCCAGAAACCCCTTCCCACCCTCCCCTTGGTGCTGCTGTCACCTCTGTGCCACGGCCACACCAAGGGGTGGGCAGCCTCACGTGACACAGGGACCTCCAGCAATGCCAAAGTGGAGGTCCCCACAGCACAGTGTCCATGTTCCCCACCCTGACACGGCTCTATCCCCAGGGATCCCAGCCGGCGGCCCCCTCTGCACAGCAGTGGCCACCAAGGGTGATGACTACGTCATGCTGCGGTGCTGGTGGGAGGGGGGGACACCACCAGTCACCCTGCACTGGTGGGATGGCGAGGGCAAGGCCTTGGGTGACCCTGGGCTTTCCAGCGCCGTCCTGGTGCTGAGCGCCGCTGGCAGCTTGGGGGGCCGGGACTTTGTCTGCATGGCCGCCCACCCCCTGCGCCCTGCCGGCGCCGATTGCCGCCTGCGGCTGGGTAAGCCGGTCCAGTGCCCCCATGGCCTTGAGGTGACATGTCCTCCTGGCCATGGAGTGACATGTCCCAACACTTCTCACCACGCAGAGGTCCCTGAGTTGGAGGCAGAGAGGAGTGAGGTGGTGGTGCTGGAGGGCGGCGAGGCACGGCTGGCGTGCCGGCGACGTGGCAGTAGAGCCGATCTCGGTGCCACCCTGGCCTGGTATGACCCTGAAGAGCGGGAGGTGACACCTGGGATGGCCAAGTACCGGGTGGAGCGAGGAGAAGATTGGGTCAACCTGACTGTGCAGGATGCCGAGTGGCCAAGGGACGGGGTTTTTTTTCCAGGGCAGTGGGCACTGCCAGCCTCCCTGTCCACCTCCGTGTGGACCGTGAGTGCCAGGAGGGGCCTGGGGTGGGGGCTGAGTCTAGGACCACTGGTAACTGTCAACTGACCACCACCAACTAGATGCCACCAACTTATTCTAAAGTTTCCATAAAATAAGATTAAACAAATACAATTAAAAAAACCCAAAACAACAGTTTTTAAAACCAATGTTTAACAAATGCACTTATAAAACTCCCTCAAAATTTTTCAAAGCTATGTTAAACAATTGCAAATATAAACCATCCAAACTAATTTTCTAAAAGTGACATTAAACAAATGTTTTAAAAGCAAACACTTAAAGCCCACCCAAACCCAGTTTTTAAAGCAATGTTCAGGCCTGTGACTGGCAATGAGCTGCTGGGGACACATTGTTTGCGTCACCGTCATCTCATCATCAGTTTAGTATCTCAGATGTTAATTTCACTGTGCTGAATGAACACCCAGTGCTGGTGGGCATCCAGTCCTGGTGGTGAGTTGGCAGGGTGGATAAGTGTCCATCAGGCAGCTTTCCCTTCCCCATGGGGGTCACCCCCTCCTGCCATGTGCCATCTCACCATAGGATACCCAGCCCCCCCCAACGTCACCATCAGCAAGCTGCGGTACACGCGGGCACGCACTGAGGTGCGGCTGGAATGGCGGACACACGGCGCCGGGAACCTCACTGGCTTTGTGGTGCAGCGGCGCCAGGCCAAGAAACCCCCTT